TCTTAAAATGTTTAAATGTAATTCTAATATTATTGTTTGAAGGCTATGTCTGCTGTACTCTGTTGTGGCCCTGTTGCAGATAATGTAGGACTTTCATCAGATGGCTATCTGTACAAATGGTTGGATAACATCTTAGACTCTCTGGACAAAAAGGTAATTCTGACCATTCCCTTAAAATGTCATAAATTATTATTGCACTGTTCACAATTAATGTATGACCTATTAAAAAGAAACTGTCAGTGGTTGGAGGCATGCCTCAGTTGGTAGAGTGCTAGACAGTGAACAAAAGCATCAGACGCTGAGTTCAAGTCCTGATCTTGGACCTAAAAGAAAAGATTTTAAAAAAAGAAACCTGTTGGACTGGGAAGGTGGCTCAGTGGTAGAGTGCTTGCCTTGCAGGCATGAGGCCCTGGGTTCAATTCCTCAGCACCACATAAGCAGGAAAAAAAAAGCCAGAAGTGGTGCTGTGGCTCAAGTAGTAGAGTGCTAGCCTTGAGCTGAAGAGCTGAGGGACAGCGCCCAGGCCCAGAGTTCAGACCCCATGACTTGATTAAAAAAAAAAAAAGAAAGAAATCTGTAATAAATCTACTTTGTTTTGTTAGGATAGAATTATATTTTAAGGATAGAATCATGTGCAAATAATATATTATATAAGATTATATATAGGATACCATATCCTAGGAAATTTATAATTTTTCCATTTAAGTTCCTCTTTCTTATTAGATTAATATAGTAGTTTCTATGTATCTGACAAAGTTCTTACTGATCTAGAGTGCTTTGGACTCAATGGAAGAAGTATGTTCTTCGCTTTGTTTACTTTGTTTGCTTTAACCATTCTACAATTAATTATTCTTTCCTTGTCTCCCACTCCATATTCTAATACCACACACACACACACACACATATTTCACAGCTTAGGCCAGGGACCTATAATCCACCTATAATCACCTATAATCTAGCTACTCAGGATCCTGGTTCAAAGCCAGCTTGACCAGGAAAGTCTGGGAGACTCTTATCTCCAGTTAACCAGAAAAAAACTGGAAGTGGAACTGTGACTCAAGCAGTAGAGTGCTAGGCTTGAGCAAAAGTAGCTCAAGAACAGTGCCCAGGCCATTAGTTTAAATCCCAGGACCAACATGAGAGAGAGATAGAGAGCTCCTCTCCCTCCGATAATGTTTCTGTTTTGTTGTGATAATTAAGAATGAAGCTTCTGACATTTTAGCTGCTTTGTTGTTTTTTTTAAAATTTTATTGTCAAGGTGATTTACAGAAGGGTTACAATTACGTAAGTAAGGTAATAAGTACATTTCTTGTCAAACTTGTTACCCCTTCCCTCTGGAATATGCATGTAACATGTTAAATGAACAAAGACAGCATTAGAAACTACAAAGAGAATATAGAAGTAAATTTGTCAGAACTCTAAATGATATTTCCACTATAATAGCACCATAAAAAGATGATGAGACAAAGGACAAAGGAGGAACCAATGCTCATGAGACAATATATTGGAAATGATCTGTACAACTTGGAAGGAGAGTTATGGGGGGAGGGAAAGTGGGAGAAAAATGAAGGAGGGGGTAACAAGTTTGACAAGAAATGTACTCACTACCTTACTTATGTAACTGCAACCCCTATGTACATCACCTTGACAATAAAATTTAAATTTAAAAAAGAATAAAGCTGGATAAAAATAATTGAAGGATCTACCAGTTCATTTTTCTAAAACACCCATTATGTTCATCAGCAGCCTTTGTGGGCTCTGTTGAAAGAAATATTCATAGTGAAGAATCTGTGTAAGAAAACAAGGAGCCAAATATAATTTACCCATGCTAGTTTTTTCTACTGCCTCAATAAAGGAGTTGAATAAAAGGAAACTGAATTTTGTATTAAATACAATAAATGTATGCTGTATATTAACTTAGAGGAGAGTGAGAAAGGGGGGGAGGAAGGGAAGAGGAGAGGAGAGAGGGGAGAGGAGAGAATACACAAGCAAATAACATTCCTCTCCCTGGCAATTTGTGACCTTCCCTCAGGTTCATCATTTGGGCTGTGAAGCAGTCACGTTGCTGCTGGAGCTGAACCCTGATCAGAGCAACCTGATGTACTGGGCTGTGGACCGGTGTTACACGGGCTCCAAGAGAGTAGCAGCCGGCTGCTTTAAAGCCATCGCTAATGTATTCCAGAACAGGTACCCTGTGCACTATGGCTTATTTTCCACTTAGAATTTTTTTTTTAAGAAAATGTCTCCTTTTTAATTTGGGAATACTAAAACATTTGTATTTTTTCTCATTAAGTACTAGGGAAATTTATCCAGTAAGGATAATAATCACCATAAGTTTGTTGTCCCTAAAGTTACCCCCTAGGCCTAGAAGATACATATGCCCTAGCTCTTTGTACATGTTTTTTTTAACTGGTATGCAGTCTCCAAACATTGTTATCTACCTAACATGTGAAATTTATCTTCAGGGATTATCAGTGTGACACAGTGATGCTCCTAAATCTAATACTGTTTAAAGCAGCTGACTCTTCTAGAAGCATCTATGAAGTTGCTATGCAACTTTTACAGGTTCGTAAACAGATGTTAATTAAAAGTTTTTTTACTGAGGGCTTAATGAAACCTGTTTTTTTTCTTGCCTTTAAAACATACTAGTACAAATATTTCACTTTATTGTTCATTGTGAAGTATGTTACCACGTTCTGACTAGCATTAGAAAAAGAAGAGGAAAGATAGTATAGATATTTAAATTTGTAAGTACTAACTATTCAGAAATATGTTATAGAAATATTATATTAGCACTTATATATTTACAAATACTAATTAATTAGGACAGAGTAGCAAGTAACTGTTAATGTCTGTTTTGGGAGCCATGTTAAGATATTAGCTCATTCATGATACCTCATCATTTTCTCAGATTGCAGGTATATTATTATTATACAATATTTAACTTATTGATCAAGAGTCTCTGATCTTACCAAGGACTTAAAGTGATTATAAAGGATGCTAATGTTACTAATGCTGATAGGACCTTCTTAGAAATTATACTTAATGCCTTTATTGATAAGAGAAGTAATGATAAAGTTTTACATATGCTGTACTATGAAAGGGAATTTTAGTTTATCTGTGAAAAGCAAGGAACCTTTTTGAATCTTTTTCCATTATAAATATATTTTTGTGTGTGCCAGTCCTGGGGCTTGAAGTCAGGGTCTCAGCGCTCCCCCTCAGCTTTTTCCTCTGAAGGCTAGCACTCTACCACTTGAGCCACAGCTTCATTTCTGGCTTTTTGGTGGTTATTTGGAGATAAGAATCTGATGGACTTTTCTGTCCTGGCTAGCTTCAAACCTCAGTCCTCAGATCTCATCCTCCTAAGTAGGTAAGATTATAGTTACAAGCCACTGGTACTTGGCTGCTATGCAGATTTTTTATAGTTATATTTTTTAACTAGATAAATGATAGATAGAGTAATTGTACATTAAGTGACTAGTTAATTAACCCATACCACTGACATTAAAGTCAAGTCATAAGTACTTTAGTTAATGTTAGTCTTTTGTAACCATCTCCTGGCATTACTAATTAACATTTCTTTTAATATACATAAGCATATGATTTTTAAACTGGACTATTTCCTGGGGAAATGTTTTATAATTGTAGCTGAACTTCAGATATCCCATAAAATACTAACTGAAGCTGATGGGATTGTCATTCTGTAGATTCTGGAACCGAAGATGTTTCGCTACGCTCATAAATTGGAGGTTCAGAGAACAGATGGAGTGCTCAGCCAGCTGTCCCCGCTGCCACATCTGTATTCTGTCTCATATTACCAGTTATCTGAGGAATTAGCAAGGGCATATCCTGAGCTCACACTCGCCATATTCTCAGGTATGACCAATGAGTAATTGGATATTCTGTCACTGTCACTTGTTTCTTCTTGGTGCTAGTACTGAGGTGTGAGCTCAGAGCCTCACATTCTTGCTTGGGTTTTTTGCTCAAGGCTGGCATTTTGACACTTGAGCCACAGCTAATGTAAGCCCTCAACACTTGGCATAAGTGCTGGTGAGATTCTTTATTATTTCCATCTTACTCATTTTTAAATGTACAGTTTTAGAAGTGTTGAGTATATGCAGTGTTGTGAATTATTATCACTAGAACTTTTTCATCCTGCAGAATTGAAGCTCTGTAGCCTTTTTCTTCTCTCTTAATCCCTGGTGCTTACCACTCTACATTTTTTGTTTGTTTGTTTTCGTCATGGGGCCTGAATTCTGGGCCCAGATGATGTTCCTCAGCATCTCAGCTCAAGGCTAGCGCTCTACCACTTGAGCCACAGTGCCCACTTCCCACTTTTTCTGTTTTTGTGGTGCTGAGGAATTGAACTCAGGGCCTCAATGCATGCAAGGCAAGCAGTCCACCACTGAGCCATCTTCCCAGCCCCCACTCTATATTTTTAAGAATTATACTACTGCAAATGTACAGTCGACGTAGAATCTTAGGTTGATATCATTGTTGTGACGGGATTATTTTGCATATCTTTGTCCACGTTGGAGCGTGTCACAGGATTGTCCTCTCTTAGGGCTGTGAGATATTCCATTGTATGTGACTATAGCTTATTTATTCGGTCATTCATCTGTCAGTTGACATTTTGTGTTGCTTCCTCCACTGTTGTGAATAGTTCTTCTGGTGGCCATAGGTGCACAAATATCTGTTTGAGCCTCTGTTTTCAATTATTTTTGGATGTATACTGAGTAGTGGGATTGCTTGATGGCAGGGGAACTACGTTTAACTCTGGGGGGGGGGTGGCATGGAGACTAGTACTGGGACTTAAACTTAGGGACCTGTGCTCTGGCTCAGCCTTTTCCATCAGGGCTGACATTCTACAACTTGATCCATGATTCCTCTTCTGGCTTTTTGGTTAACTGAAAACAGGAATTTCTCAGATTTGTCTACCCATGCTGATATCTAACCTCTGTTGTCAGATCACAATTTTCTGAGTAGCTAGGACTATAAGCATGAGCCACTGGCACTCAGTTTGTTTTTTAACTTTTTGGAGGAACTATCAGACTGCTTTCCATGCATTATGCACCATTTTGCAATCTTATTAAACAAGAGATAGATAAGATAGATAGATAGATAGATAGATAGATAGATAGATAGATAGATAGATATTTCTAGCTCAGGACTTGAACTCACTGTCTGACACTTGATTTCTCTCATTAGCTGTTTCTCTACCATATGAGCCATGCCTCCAAACCAAAATGTATTAATACTAGATAGAAATACATATGACCAGGCACAGTGATTCACACATATAATCCCAGCACTTCAGATGCTGAGGAAAGAGAGTTTGAGGCGAATCTGAGCTACAATAGCAAGACCTTGTCCCAGACATAATAAAACCAACCATTAATTGTGTGATTTTATGTTAGCTGTTCATTTTCTTTATGATGCCATTGAGTGAGTTTTATTAAAAGGAGAAATAGCATTTGTCATTGTTAAATGTCGTGAAGAAAACCTGGTTTCCTAACCTTTAAGAAGGAGATGTTGAAATTCATCATAGGTCCAAGGACACCAGAATGACTCAGTTCTCTCGTTTGATTTGCTTGGCACTAGAGATCAGCCAGAGGATTCAGACAGCTCATCCAGCGGGGCGGCAGGTCATGCTGCACTACCTGCTACCATGGATGAACAACATCGAGCTGGTGGATTTGAAACCTCTGCCCACAGCAAGGCGGCAGGAGGATGAGGAAGATGAATCCTTAAAAGACAGAGAACTCATGGTGACTAGCAGACGCTGGTTACGGGGAGAAGGCTGGGGATCCCCACAAGCCACTGCCATGGTTTTGAACAACTTGATGTACATGACGGCAAAGGTAAAGGGGGTTGCTCCACAGTTACGGAGTTCAGAGAAGGAAACATGGGCAGAAACTGGCAGAGATTAAATTATCCTAGAATAACCAAACAAAAATGAATTATAGAGTCCCTTAAACATTCAGACACACACACACACACACACACACACACACACA